CCCCCCCCAATACATAGATGAGAAGGTGCTCTTGGAAGAGAGTATCCTGGACAGCGATGAGGAAATCAACAAAGGAACTTATCAGGCCATCCCACATGTATGCTTGGTTTTGTCATAGCCCCTTTGTGCATGCATGCACAGTATAATGCGTGTAATATACATGAAAACGTCGGTCAGGATTCCAAGCGGGCTGTTAAAGCGGAGCCGAAGCATCATGCAAAGGTCCAGGAACGTGCTTTGCAGACAGTGAAAGAAATTAATGAGAAACAATTTGCAGAGGGAAAAGCAGAGATTTTGAAGGCGTGCATTTAAGAATTCAAGACCTGCGCATGTGCATATTTCAAACAAATCGATGCATGTGTTTGCGTAAATACAAATTATACTGGAGATTACTGTTGAATACGAGGCACAAAAAAAAATGCGGAAAGCTCTGAGGGAAGAGGCTGCAGAAGTAGAGGATGAGGACAGGTTTTTGCGGGAGGAGGCAGAAGCCTCTGAAGAAGAAAAGGAAAGGAAGAAAACAAAGGGAAGGGGAAGGGGAAGGGGAAGGGGACGAGGTGTGAGCAAGGATGACCAACCAGTCGGGCGTGGGCGTGCAAGTGGGCGGGGAAGATCTAAAAAAACACACGATCCGGCCGAACAAGGTATGGGGGACCTAGCTGAGACAGGTGAAGGGGTAAGCAAGACCAAGGAAGGTGAGGCAGTAGAACGTGAACATCCGTGCAAAAGGAGTCCCTTGGTGAAAAGTCTGATGAAGCGAGCCGCCAGTAAGCAAGATGTACTGTCTGAGGGCGATCAGGTCAAATCCACAAAACGCAGGCCCAGGCGTGACCCTGTCAGGAAGGACTTGGATGCATCTTTCCAAGCCGTCCAAAGCGACCATGATGGTAATGGGGATCAGGGAATGACAACTGAGGGTAAGCCAAAGGACAAAGAGGTTGAGGAGGAAAATGGAGGGGATGGCAAGGAGGTGCCAAAAGAGGTTGAGGAAGGAAATGAAGGGGATGGCGAGGGGGCGCCAAAAGAGGTTGAGAAGGGAAATGGAGGGGATGGCGAGGAGGCGCCAAAAAAAAGGGCTCGATACAGCAACATTGGAAGAAATGTGCTGGTCTTGGGCTTAGCGAAAAATACTACAATATATGAGATATATGCACTGTCGAAGTTTGCTGATTCAACATGCATGCATATGCATGTTTGATGACTCAGCATTGCCTAGTTTGATACATCTGCTACTACTACGCTACCTTTGTGCTGCCTTAGGAAGCCACTCTTGAGGAGGTCCGAAACGTGATCAAGAACGACCCTAACCCGGCAGTTCACTCCTTGTTGGATCAGCAGTGGACCGGCATGAAGCGCAGTCCTTGGGAACAAGCGCAAGTGTGATTCAAAAATCTAGATAGACAGAGATTTTGGGAAATTTGGACTTGGATGAAAACACATTCGATACTATATTTATTGGCCGTCTAGCTTGACAAAGGTCAGTAACATATCGACGTCCAGAAGGTCTTCCGGAGTTCAAGGCTGTTGGTGAAAGCTCTGCACTGCAAGTCTTGTCGAAGCCTTACCAACCAAATCCTAGACCAAACCACTTGCACACTGGATAGCATTATTGATTTTTTGTGGGATATACTTCAATCAAGGCTTGCAGCCCGCTCCTTCTACATCTTCCCTGTTCCACCGGGGCGTGTGGAATCCATCAACCTGAGATACAACATGATTCTGAAGGCCTTTAAAAGATGTACAGTAGAGCTCGGTAGAGATGCATGCAAACATGCCTTCTGCAATGCAACATTCCCCGCATGAATGTGATAGGTCAAAGCATCCCTTTGGCCAGGTCAACG